AAAAAAAAAAGACAAAAATTAGGCCTACTTAAGCCTACTTAATACATTACAAGAAAATGATGAACTGTATAATGGAATTCCAATAACAATTCTAGTTTGTGTGTTTATATTTATCAAGAATTTAAATTGATTTACATTAATTTCAAACCACCACACATTTTAAATAATAATGTAAATCATATAACGAATGCACCAAGAAATCTAATCTCCAATCTCCACTTATAGATAGATTCCTCAAAACTATTTGAATTGATCCTTGATAGTTAAAAGTCACTTATTATTTTAGGTAGGTGGTGATGATTTCTAGATTCAACCCCATGGATCAACCACCAAAAACAACTTAAACCCCACTTGGAGACATAAATGAGAGATCAGTAAAACATGTACTTATCACTTAAATCTTTTAAGATAGCATTAAAATTGTATTAATAATGTAAATGCACTAGAAATCCAAGACAAGTGCATGTGCAGTTTCAAAACTATATGAGTAGGTTGTTTGAAAACCCTCCCTAATCATTTTTAAGGAAACCTTATCATTACTTTACGGAATAAACCACCCGATTAAGTTCACAAATAGCATAATTGTTGTCAAGGGGAATCCAATATATTAAACCCTAGTTTGCTCATCTTTGACTTCAAAAATGTCACATAGTTAAAAAGTCCATTTCGGTGATTATGTTATGTAAAATTCCAGAGGCATGCTTGGACAGCTTGCATCTCATCCAGGATCTTAATAATTATATGTAAGTATTGTCGTGTATATATGATAATGGCATTATGCTAAATACGGATTTTAATCATGTTTCAAGATACTGCATGATGGACGATTTTGCTATGAAGTCATCAAACGGCATGACTTATGAGGCATCTACAATTATTTACAAACAACCATTACAAAAAAAAAAAAAAAAAAAATGTTATATTTCAACGGAAAATCCTACGATAATATATTCCAACGGATATTCCAATGGTATAGTTTCCATTGGAATGATTCCAACGGAAATTCCAACGAAAATATTCCGTTGGAATGAATTTTAGATGGAATTTGATGATTCCAACGGCTATTTTTTCAACGGTTTTTTACTGTAGGAATTTCCGTTGGAATTTTTATTTCCATCTCCGTTGGAAAATCTACCGTTGGAATCTTCAAAATCCAACGGAAATTCCAATAGAAAACTCATTCCAACGAAAAATTTTGGTTGGAATTCCATTAAAATATATTTGTATTGGAACTTTCAATTGGAATTTGATCATTTTATTGTAGTGAACGTATTTGCATTTATCCTAAAATAAATACGTATGAAATGTGCATCAATGGAATGCTTCATAAAGGTATCAATTACTGAAGGTACCAATGCATATACAAGCACTTTTTTTTTTTAATAAAAATTAATAGTAATTTATATATAGTTTTACTAATATATATATGTACTACTACTGCATATATATACATAATCGACATAATACGATAAATTATATTTTGAAAATGACTTCATGGCGGTGAGCTAAACAATTTACAATTTTATAGGCGTGTGCTTAGATTAATTTACAATTTTATAAGCTCAACAATATGCCTTTTAAAATTTTCTTTTTAAATATTACTTTTTTCTTTAAGCAACTTATTAGCGTAGGTTCTAATTTTATAAGTTCGCCAAATGCCTTTTANAAGCAACTTGTAAGATACTACAAATTATCGGTGAGAGCTGTGTGATAGAACATCTATATCCAAATTTTTGTCCCATATGATTTCTTTTCGAATAAAATATAAAACTACTTGCTCGGCTTATTTTTTCTTCGAACAATCAATCCAACTCATTTTATTTCACATTTTTTTCATCAATCACTTCATTACATTTAAAAAATGCATCACTAATCATAATACACATGTTCATAAGAATTTATTATTGATTCTACCATATTCTCCAAATGTAAGTTATTATTTTACTATTTTCATACAAAAATACAATTCAATTCTGAAAATGTAATTTCAATTTACAATTAATTTTAATATTTAAACATGTTATAGATGGAAATTCGTTAATCTAACACCAAGCACAAAGATATATATGAAAGTAATAAATGATATAATAGGAGAAAAGGCAGAAAAATGTATCTACCTCATCAGTATTCATCCCTACAATCTCATCAGTATTCATCCCTACAATAATGCTAAAGAGCCAACTGTTGGCTCCATTATGGAGCCAACAGCCAATGGGACAACTCCATATGGGGCTGTCCCACATAGCTCCAGTATGGGACAGCCCCACATGGAGTTGTCTCATTGGCTGTTGGTTCCGTAACGAAGCCAACTGTTGGCTCCTTATGGGACAGCCCCACATGAAGTTGTCTCATTGGCTGTTAGCTCCGTAACGGAGCCAACTGTTGGCTCCTTAGCATTACTGTCTGTTAGTAATGTCAATCATAATATATTTACAACATGCCTCCTTCGACATTACTATATATCTGAAAAAACTATCAAAATCAGGCTCGTAATTATAGGGTGTTTCACTATTGGTCCCATTAAAATCAAGTTTCTCAAAACTAATCCACTTTTCTTTTAAAAATCAATCTAAACTGGGACAATTGTTTTGAAATTTCAAAATCTAACCCAAAAACGACACATCACGCCAACATGTAATAATATTACAATTTTTCCATTTAACTCCTGTATGGCGGATGTCATGAAAAAAATATAAAAATCAGTCTCACAACTATAGAGATGTTTCTATGTTCGTCTCATTAAATATGTAGTTCAAATATTTTTAACATACANAGAGAGAGAGAGAGAGAGAGAGAGAGAGAGAGAGAGAGAGAGAGAGAGAGAGAGAGAGAGAGAGAGAGAGAGAGAGAGAGAGAGAGAGAGAGAGAGAGAGAGAGAGAGAGAGAGAGAGAGAGAGAGAGAGAGAGAGAGAGAGAGAGAGAGAGAGAGAGAGAGAGAGAGAGAGAGAGAGAGAGAGAGAGAGAGAGAGAGAGAGAGAGAGAGAGAGAGAGAGAGAGAGAGAGAGAGAGAGAGAGAGAGAGAGAGAGAGAGAGAGAGAGAGAGAGAGAGAGAGAGAGAGAGAGAGAGAGAGAGAGAGAGAGAGAGAGA